CGTGGGGGGAGGAGGTAGAGAATTTGGGAGTGAAGTTGAGCCTGGGAAGAGGGGAGGGGTGGGGGGAAAGTGTTTTTAAGATTTGGTTTTATTTCTCATTATCCTACTCTGATTTGGTTGGTAATAAATTAAACTAATTTCCCCAAGTCAAGTCTGTTTTGCCCGTGACGGTACTTGGTGGGCGATCTCCCTGTCCTTATCTCAACCCACGAGCCTTTCATTGTATTTTCTCTCCCCTGTTCTGCTGAGGAGCAGAGTGATAGAGCGGCTTTGGTGGGCACCTGGCACCCAACCAGGGTCAACCTGCCACAAAGCTGAAAATAAACACCATCACCACAGCATCCCTTACCACATTGGGGCGCTTGACAATGTTCTCCAGCTTCGTGTGACTGAACTCCAGGCTGATGACATTGTAGAGCTTTTCACGCTGGGCCTCTGGTGTTTCATAGTATCTCACAAATTGAGACATGCTCATTTCAACGCCCTTCTGCGTGTTCCCATCCATCACATCCACTATCCGTCGGCTTCCTGCAAACACGCAGAGACACTCTCAAAACATTTACCTTTGCTTTATTTATATATGTATATACATAGAAAAATATATATATTATTATATATATGTATAAATTCTCAACAACTGCAGGGAAACTGTTATTACAGGATGAGAGACCAGCATCAGTCCCTCTACAGGTCCTGAGCAGCTCCAACAGTGAGCAGGGAACTATCTTGGAAATGGACTTTGTGCCCAGTATGACACTGAACAAGTCATTTGGCGTCTCTCTGCTTCATAGAGATGGAGAGTTTCCTCCTTTACATGAATTGACATGAACAGAAGTACATTAAAAGCTATGAAAAAGCAATATAATATGGTAGCAGGGGGCATGCAAGACAAATAGCTCTCCAAATCATACTCTGCAATTTTCTAAACATCCATATGCGTCTCAAGATGCTTTTACTCATGTACAAAAATTATCCATAAAGACCAAACTGGCTTGCATCACCGGATGCTATAAACTGCTTAACACCTTATACAGATTGCTGAGCATTCTCAATTCCAGTCATCGTCAGTAGAGATGAAAGCACTAAATGCCATAGAAGAGTGAGACCCCACTTTGGATCTCAACAAAAACTACAGGACATACTTTCAGCTTCTCGAGTGGCAGACATACAAGTCTCATTAGCACCAGAACGTTGAACAGCAGTTTTAGTCAAGCCTTCAGCTTTACACAGATTAATCCACAATCTTCTCTTTGGCCAACTGGAAGGTTTCACCTCTCCCAGCAATTTCATCATCCTAATTAGCAGTTCATTTGTGTGTGAGCGAATGGGAGCCCATGAGAGACATGCCTCATTTCCAGGACAGAAGGATTCCAGCAAACAAACTCGCAACGCTTCCAAAAAATCACTTCAAAACCATTTTCACTGCCGAAGAAATAACTCGAAATAAATTGCATTAAAACAAAATGGAGGGCCGATATATGCCATCAGAGGGAATTATTAATAATTACAGCACCTGGCCTATTGTGTGCTTGGGAGCAGTATTTCAGCAAGAATGATAGTTTGGATTGCATCACTCCAGTAAAAACATCCTTAGCCACTGATAGCAATGACAGTGACAGATGTGATAATCATTCTGGAAAGGAACTCAAGACCATAAAGCTTTGTAATCAAAACGAAAAATTTATACAGTGTAAATCTGGAATAGCCCCACTGGCCTGTCAGTCAAACTCTTCACTACAAGGCCGGTGAACAGGATTTCATCCTTAGTCTGAGCTCAGGACTGTACGTAGTGTTGCCACCTTGAGGCAGGATGGGGAGAAAGTTTAGTTACATGTGAAAAAGCACGAGTCCTTAAATTTGGTATTTGCATCTTTGAAACAACATACATAAAACCTAGTTTTGGGTTGGGTTTTTTTGTTGTTTTTTTAACTGTTAACTTTATTATCTGGGGGGGAATAGTCTTTTTTCAACTCAATAGGTTAGCAACTGGGGTGAAGTCCTGTTAAACAGCCCCTGAATAAAAGCCAGCCTGATTTCTGGCTTCCAGTGCCTGGGGATTAAAGCAGTGGCTACAGCCCAGAGGGGTTAAGTACACAGATACTGAAAAATTGTATTTGAAGGACTGTGTGCCAAAGTCTAGGATCTGCCATATTATAGTCTAGGTTTATCTCAGCTTTGCTGGAAGCGACCTTGTACAGCCTCTCAATTATCCTTTCTGAAAGAAAAATCAGCAGTTACCTGATGAATTAAAAGTATGAGGCCTAGTTCAATAGCAGGTTTGTTAAATGTACACGATTATCAATTACGGGCAGAAGAGCTAAGATTTGAATTGATAGTCTCTTGACTTCCAAATTAGAGAGTAATTTGAGGGGATGTTTTTCTCTTAAACCACAGTACTATCAAACAAGCCCGTACATAATGATTCCTGGAGTACCGCTCGCAAAATTTGAGACGTATAATTACAGGTTAACAGCCTCGTGCTCGCTGCCCACTTCCTAGCGGTTCTGGCTTACTGCCAACTTCATCTATTCTTTTCTGAAAAGATTCAGTTCTTTCTTCTATTTCCTGCCCCTAGAAGAAGGTTAAAAAATATCATCCCAAAGGGGAGACAGGTAAAGAACAAGGGAAAGAAGCACACTGAGGCTCCAAAAAGCGGTGATGGGCTGAGAGATCTCAGGTCAGGCTGGATTTCTGAACATCTTCAACATGCATTTTACTTGATGTACCATTTCTGTTAACTACTTCCTAGATATCCTCTTGCCACACTCTCACCCTGCCCTCTAAGAAGGGATCCCACTCAATTAAGCCCAATGCAGCGCACCAAGTCCGAGAAGGATCTCAGCGACCCTGGAAGCCTCTTGCCCTCGTACGGACCATATGCCTCCCTTCAGCCCAGCACATGGATTAACATATACCTGGATCCCTAGCTGGCAAAGCGCATCTCTTACTGCTGACATGGGAAGCTTCAGTGCACCATGCATCACCTCATCCTTGACTTCCCAGGATTTTTTTCCAATATAACTCTTGACCGGAGAACGCCTGGACAGTGCAGGATTAAGAGGCGTTGTTTCCTCTCCTGCAGCAGATGTGACTCAGAGGCAAAGTGGTGATGCTAGGGTTCACTGGAGGGCATTTTACAGCCTAAAGAAGAAATGTCTTCCTCCTCTACTGCTGCTTACTCATCAAGCACAAGTGAATCCCCAAAGGATCACAAAAACAGTAACTAAGAAACAAGCTAGCACCATCTTTGACAAGAGGAACAGACAAAAGCAAGAAGGAGAGGGAAGAATCAGTTGCAGAGATGTAAGCTGGAAAATCAAATCAATTGGGAAGCGCTACTTTAGAACTACGCTTCATTTGAAAGCTTAAAAAAAAAAAATCAAGTTACTCCAGCCCACATATTAGTAAAATCCGCAGTAAAATTAAGGGAGGGTAATAGCATATATAATATCTGTTCCCTTCATTTAGAGGCCTAGTGACCGAGATGCTGTAAAGGTTTTAACAGATTAAATCCTACAACATTGCTGTATGCTGCAATATCATTATTTTTTTTACATAGAAACGAACACCTGGAGGAAAAATGAGTTGTGCAGAGTCCCTGCCTCCCACTGCCCACCCTGTACAAGTTGGTTTGGTACAGAGATTTGCTCCTCGCTGTTCTGGGCTTCTCGGCAAAAATATTTTGAGAGCAACAGGGAGGCAAATCTTGTCCTCTAGTCAGAAAGAGAACTGCACTCCATGAATGCAAGTTACACAGGCACCTTGCCTGCATCAGCAAACGCTTTCACAAATCATAGCTTCACCAAGTCCACCCCAGAGACAGACTTCAGGAGTGACGTGCTCCAGCTCTGAAGTCATTCAGCAAAGCTCTCATCGATCTCCCCTGCAGCATTTGCGCCCACACTTTGCTTCGTGTATAGAACATTGTAATGATCTGCCAAAGAGGGAACAGTGAATGGGAAATTCTGGGACTATAATAATCTCCAACAGTTGCCGCTTCCCATTTCTCAAAAGGTGAAGCACTGCTTTCCCCTGCCTTGACCTGAAACAGCTTCAGACTTGCATTATCCAGGCTACCAGACACCAGTCTTCAAAATAGTCCATCCTTTCCCCTGACGCGGATTTAGCATTGATATTAGGAGCAGTGGAAGCGAGAGGTGGTCCATAAGCAAACATGAACCACACAGTAGAATACAAGAAATGCACAGAAAGTGTGAATCAGGTGTGAAAATTACACCAGTGTTTTCTAGGCTGCTGTCTCTTCCCCACGGCACCACTGGCAGGAGAAGGTACAACTCTCCCACCGCACAGGAAAGACGAAATGTCCTTTCTGTAAGAATGATTATCAAGCCTGTCCATTAGGAGGATAAAGCTACCTTGGGGAACTATTTTAACCCTTTGTGACTGAAGTAAGATCTGTGCCCAAGGTACAGTATGGTGTCTACAACCAGAAGCCAACCTCAAATGCAGAGGGATAAGCCTGCTGGTCCTTTCTAATCTTTATGCTTCTTACTGGGAAAAAAATCCTTGGTTTGTAAAGCAGGATTTTTGGCAGAGCCTTAGGAAATCTGCTAGCTTTACTAGCAGGTTAATTGTACCTAAAGACTGAGGGTTTGACTTGCATCCCGGTTAATCCCGCTGGAGCTCCCGGAGCTGGAAAGCACGTATTCTTCTGCTACCCAGAGGAGACTATTCTGATATTCCATACTAACTGGGAGGGACAAGAATCAAAGCAGAAAGTCCTTGCTCAAGTGGAGCTGTTCACGACATTCCCTGCATTTCAGACCCAGGGTAAGAACAACTTAAGTTAAGAGCGACACATTCCCTGCATTTCAGACCCAGGGTAAGAACAACTTAAGTTAAGAGCGACACGTACCAATACCATCGCTCCCAGATCCACCAGAGGGCACAGAAGAACAAAGGGAAACAAGAGTCCAGCTCGGACACTTGCACACATCTCTCCCACATGTCTCCCAGTTGGTTTTCTCACGCAGGATTTTCCCCAGCACAGCCTGGTCCACCATGAAACAAGTATCCCCAAGCCATCCAGCTCCCCCCTTGCAGTGCTCTCTGCCTTTCCTCTTTACATCCCCTTGCCCAGGTGTCTGCCCCCCCAGCTCCCCAGCACATGCCAAGCTGGCTGCAGAGCGGGAGCCTTTTCAGTGGGGTTAAATTATTTCCTTCTTATGGAGATGTAAAGCTAGAAGTACCTGACATGTACCTTCCCCCTCCTTCCCCTCTTCGGTGTCTGCAGCTTTATCATTTGGTATAAAACTGCCAAATTGCAATAACCCATGTTATTAGTTTCTTTCATGCCACAAAAGGTAAGGTATTTAGAGCATGTCCACAGGAAGAGCTTAAGCCAGCAAAAAGTCTTAAGCCTTAATGCTACAGGACTAGACTAAAGAAAGAGGCTCAGGGCAAATAATGTGTTTTAGTGGCATTATATAGAATCAATTAGTATCCTTACCTCTACCCAAAACATAAACTCTAATTTTCAGTGATTCTTTGAAACTTCAGTCAGTGAA